TATAGCTCATACAAAGAAATACTGTAACTGTACTGACTACATAATTTGCAAAATCCAGTGCAACATGAAAATGTGGTATAACTTATTAATAAGCCAAGAATTTCAGGATGGCAACAGCAGAGCAAGAAACTGAGTCTTGGGAATCCTACCCAGTGCAATAAGGCAAGATCAAGAAATAAAATGCATACAGATTGGAATGGAAGAAATAAGACTGTCTTTATATGCAGATGACATGATTGTCTCTCACATACAAACTAATATGTGAGCTTAACGAGAACACAGGATACAAAGTCAACATACAAAAATAATCGTAAATACTTTCAATGAATAACTGGAAACCAAAATTAAAACCCAATGCCATTTACAGTAGCTCCCCTCAAAATGATATACTTAGGTATCTTTCTGACAAAACATGTACCATCTCTGTATACTAGAAAGTACAAAATTCTCATAAAGGAAATCAAATGAGACCTAAATAAGTGGAGATATATATACCATGTTAGTGAATTGGAAGATTCAAAATAGTAATGATATCAATTCTTCCCAAACTTATCTACAGACTTAATGCCATTCCAATGTTAAAAAATCAGCAGTATTTTTCTATAGATTCAGACAACCTTATACTAAAATTTATATAGAAAGGCAAAGAAACTAGAATAGCCAAAATAATTTTGAAAAAGAGTAAATTTGAAGAAATCACATTAGCTGACCAAGTCTTACTTAAAAGCTATGGTAAGCAAGACATTGTGTTATTGGTGAAGGGATAGGCACATAGATCAATAAAATAAAATAGAGTCCATAAATAGACCAGTAGAAATATGGCCAGTTAATTTTTTGACAAAGGTGCTAAGATATTTCAATGGAAAAAGGATTAATCTTTGCAACAAATGATGTTGGAACAATTAAACTCTATATGAAAAAAAAGAAAAAAAGAAAGTCTCAACCAAAATCTTACTACATCTTATACAAAAATGAGTATAGATCTAAGTGTTAAATATAAAACTATAAAACTTTTAGAAAACATTGGAGAAAATCTTCCTGATACAGGATTAGGCTAAGAGTTCTTTAATTTGATATCAAAGGCATGATCCATTAAAAAAATTGATAAATTTTGCATCAAAAATTTTACTCTGCAAAGAAGCAACAAAAAATAATACGTAGATATGATAACATTTTTGTAAAATAAAACCCCATACATATTTATACAAAAATTTTAAAAATGCTGTTGTTTTTTCAGAGATGGTGCCAGTAGATTGATATATCTTACTTTTGACTCTATACCCTCCTTTGGTGGTTGAATTTTTATGAGTATCTCTTATTTTCATACAAATTCCCAAACCTCCTACCATTGGCAGCTTTCAAATGAAATTGGTCAGCAGTCTGCTGGAAAAGATGTAGGGAGGTGAGAGTTGACTCCTTGGATTCCTTCCTACTTTAAAATCCTAAGGATTTTATGATTAGACCCAACATAAGATAATTAAAAATCCCCTAAATGAGAAAATCTTTGCCATATTTTATTCACTTTCATAATCACTGAAATAAAATACTCAAAGCCCCAGTGTCTTATCAGTGCCTTCTAGTGGGCTCAAATCTTAATGTTTGCTGTTTATCATTTGTCATGAGTACTGTGATGTTTGAGTGACTAGTAGCCCCTTTCAAATGTGTTTTCTTAAACAACTTTGAGTACCCTTTTGTAGAACAGAAGAGACCACAGTTCATTAATTGGATCACAGTTCAGGAAGCAGTATTCACCTGGAATCTGCTTTTTCACCTTTACCAAGCCTTGACTTGCATTAATTTTACCTGTAGACTACATTGTCTCTGAATTAGTATAGTAAAAATTTGAAACTAACTAATGCACCTAACTACAAGTAAGGCATAAATTCTCAGAACGAAATGTTAGACTGAAGTGCAGCGGTGGAATTACTGCACAGATGATTAAATTTAAGCTTCAGATGTCTTTACCTGCATAGTTCTTTCTAAGGACCTGTTGTGTTTACAGCTTTGTAGAGTTGCAAAAGATATTTTAACCACAACCAAACACTATATCTGTCCACTTTGACTTTTCCTCCATCATGCTTTTCTTCACAGAGAAGCTAGGGACATTTTGAGGATTCTGTAAAGGAAAACAGAATTGGGGATAGGTTTCGTTCGCGTTTAGTGGAGTATGTTTTGTGGTTTGCAGCAACTCTGTGTATAATTACTGCTAGCCATACTGGCATAGGAATAGCTTTAGAGATAACTCCTATAGCTCACTATCCCAATTTAATTGCTTAGGGAACATGAAGATCCATGCCAGACATGGTGTCACACATTATGAATGTGTCCAGTGGGCTCTGATCCTGGAAGTATTGGGTGATGGAGAGGCAACATGATTTGAAATGTGCAGTCAAAAAGTGGTCTGTGGAAAAATTCTTCCAAATTTTGCATCTTATATATGAAATAAACTAGATAGGAGTTTTTGTAAATTTGACAATAATCCCTAAAAATTTAGGCAACATTGTCAATAATGAGTTGTAAAACTGAAACTTTTCTAATCTGCCAATAATAAAAAACAAATTTTGATCAACCATTCTAGAGAAAAGACAACTGTATTTCTATTATTCCTAGGGAAAATGATTTTATAAAATTATTGTTAAATGGAAAGTCAATCAAAGAATATGCATCCAGAAAATATAGGGGGAAACTATTATAGATGTATGCCAGGCAGTTAATTAAATTAATGCTGTTTTTCTAGATTTTGTGATATTTAAGATATTTGTCAGTTTTTAAGCTTTGCAATATTTTGTGATTTCTTTTTTCGTTCTGAATATTCACTTTCAGATCTAATTCTGTATTTGTAATTTTATATTCTTTTTCTTAAAAAGGACTGCCCAAATTGTATAAATTTCAGGCCCTACAAAACCTGGATTAACTCTACATAGATGCTTTTAAATATTTAGAAATAGAACAAAGCTTTTCCTTTTGGTTAAGACTAATAGTAGCACAGTCAAATGGGATCATGATTTACTTAGTCTGGAATTTGACCTCTATAATGAAATTGGTATCTCTGGGGTGTCAGAACTGAGAACAGTGAGAGGCACATAGATTTATCACCAGCCACTCTACAGGAAGGAAACCTGGGTAGAATTTGGCAATGAGTATGAATTTGTTCCAGATAAGAAATTTTCTGCAAAGAAGGTCTGCTGAAATGACCTGGGGAGCTTTTATCTAATTTAAAAAAAGAAAGATTTTGAGGCTTTTCAGAGAAGTGTGAAACACTGGGTTTGGGATATCTAGGTTCAATTCACCTAGTTTTGGTTTCCACACTACAAAGGAAAGTTAAGATAAGGTTGACACAGTGGATGACCATGACTCTCATCTCATTGTGCTTTGTATCTTCTGTCAGTGACTGAACTGGATTGATGGTTGTTCTGGGAGATCCTGTGAACAATGGGGCCAGCTGACACAATCTAATGAGAGTTTGTCTCCCTCACAGAACAGATGCACTGGGCTCATCATTCTTACACAAGTTATGCCAGGGTCACTGGCTCTTTCCTGAAGAGGAGTTTACACATATGTATCTTTGTTTAACCCATTAACAAGTAATGTAGCTTGCTTATTACTCTTTTTGATTTGTATGCCCTCGTTAAAAGGTTTGTCCTTTTATATCCCAAATAAAGCAAAAGAAAGTTGCAATTGTATTTCACCATAGGCCCACAATTTGGCTCCAGGGGCAATAATAAAAAATGATAGAAGCAAACCCCCTGTTTGCCAGATTGGCCAGCCAGTGGGTCCCCAAAGGAAGGGGTCACAGGTTGCAGGAAAATCCCTTCTGTCCTCTCTGATCTTCCAATTCTAGAAGGGTCTGAGACTAAATGTGATTTACATGGTTGAAGACTCCTTCCTTTAAGCTGGAGTCAGGGTGGGTAATAACTGGATGTTACTTAGCATCACATTTGATAGGGAATAAAAACTATGTGGGAGCCTTAAAAAGTCTTTACTCTGTCTGATGTCATGTAATTTCTGTTTCATTGTGATCAAAGGATTCAGAGTATAGTCCATAGAAGTGCGCCATGCCGAATTTCAGCAGTTCTGACAACTGTGGGTCACTGAATTATCAAGTAATTCTCTGATTTGGCTGTCCAGGCTTCTTTGTGACTTAGTGATAAAGTCTGTTATCTGGAATAATGATGCATTCTGCAGGAGAAAATGACAGGAGGATTATGGCTGCAAGACAGAGAGGATGATAGCAGGTTTCACTCGTTTATTTAATCAAAGGCATTTCCCAGAGAATTTGAAGTATTCCTGGTGATGTGAATTCTGTGAGATTTTATCTTTACATTTTTTTCTTTATCATTTTTGGGTAGAATGAGCTTGAAGAATTAAGTAATATACATGACCAGGCATAGACAAACATGTGGATGTGGTTTAGCAAAGCAAAGAGTCCCATTTATATAGGACAATATTCTTGATGCTGGTTTGAGGCTAGCTCTGAATGTGTGGATTTGGAAGGAAGCTGCATTTCCAGGTTGAAAAAAGACTAACCTCTCCCAGTTTTACCCAAAATTCATTATCAAGTAATCAAAAAGAAGAAAAGTCAAGGGTTGTTGATTTTTCTTAATTTCCATTTCCTTCTATGTGAATAGAGATCCTAAAGTAACAGGGTGAAATGCTTTGCCTGGGAGAAATTTTCTACCTTGGTTCCCCTACTCCTGGGCACTCCCACCCAAACCTCTCTGAACCCGGAGCTTACTCTCTTGTATTAAGACTTTGAATTGTACTGGCTTGGCTTTGCTATCAGCATATTTCATGACTTTTTTCTATCTAGTGTGAGGTTCTGCTTTCCTCTGTAGCTAGTAAAGGTAACTGTCCTTTCATCTTCTCCAAGAGAGATACCAAAGGTGAAAGTCTATGGTTGTTGTATGTCTCTCACTTTAGTGATAGCCATCACCATGGGACCTGGTGCTTGTCCAGGCCTATGAAGGGACACCCACTACTCTACTCTCATCTTACTCCACCTTTTTCCATGTCGGTTTTGATCTGCTCCTCAAGATCCTCTGGAGACACATAGAAGTCCTCTTCTGGCATTGATGATTTAGGCCGGCATCGTCCACAGCAGCAGTTGCAACAGCAGCACAGACAGCAGCAAAAATAGCAGCCGGTCAAGAGGCCAATGATGACAAACAGAGTCTAGGGGAAACAGAGGCAAAGCGAAACAGAGGTGAGGTGTAGCGGGGTGCAGGAGATCCCAGAAATCAAGTATGTACCCATGGACCTCCAGAGACCTGAAGACACCACAGTTCACCTCACAGATCACATGTTTCACCCTCATCCTTATTCCAGGAAGGACTCTTTTTAGTTTCCCTGGAGACAAATTCCTCATAAAGTTTTGCCTAAAAAGTTAAGCCAGGAGCAAGTGACTTGCAGTCAGAGTAACGAAGTACGACATTTTTCTTCTTTATCCTTAAGCCATGGCGATCATTACTAAGAGTAGAGCAAACAAAAACAACAAACTGACAAACATAACCTGTACAGGTCAAATGAGCTAACCAAGAGCACTGAATCATTCTCACCGGAGAGGCTATTGAGAGCTCCTCCTACCACCCCACATTCCTCTTGGTCACCAAGTGCTGCAGTCTCTCTCCTCAAGATCCCTTGCTCTGTCCGCCTCGTCTCTATCCTGATTGGGCTTTAAAGCAGATCCCCTCATCCCTGCTCTGGACACTTCAGTAGCATCCTTTTTCCCTGCCTTCCACTCCATGTTTGAAATTATCCCAAAGATCCTCTCTCTGATGTCTTTCCTGATCCCTGCCTTCCCAGGACAATTACTCTCTCCTTTGTTCCCCAGCTACACTCCATACAAATGTCCACCATCGTCTTCTTTTGTTGACACTTTAAGACATTGATCAGTTTATAATCCTGTCTCTATTAGACTCTGAGCCTCTTGACACTAGAATTATATGTTAGTCATCCTTCTGTCCCTCCTTTACTTATGAATATAGTACCTGGCACATGGTAGACATTTAGTAAGTACCTACTGAATTAATTAATGTATAAAGTGATTAGTAATAAACAAATGATTTGTTCCTCTTAGTGAACAGCACTAGGATTTCCCCACAGGCATGTATAACGTCTGCTCATGAAGTTTGCCATAGCTAAAAATTAAAAGAAACTTTCCCAACCCAATTTGAAGTGAAAACAAGCTCATTTTTGTTAATTGAGAAAAATAAGTTTATGATTTCATTAAAAATCTGTTATTTGAAATAGAAAGGAAGTGATTTATGCATCTTTGAATCATAATGCAGATTTTATCTAATAGAGGGAGCAAAGAGGATAAAGATTAGTGTGTGTGAATGCAGTTCTTCATTCTTAAGGTAGAAATCTTCAAACTTGAGGTAGAAATCTTCATCACTGATGAAACTTACTTGCCCCATCCCCACTTCCTAGCCCAGGATTCCATCTATCTGACTGTAGCTTCAGTTCTAGGGTGGAGTCTGTGGGTGGCGTGGAGTGAGGCAGGTTTAGTCACACCCTCACACCTAGACTATTTTTGCTAGGGATTCTGTATATTTTCATAGATACATAAGTTTTTTTAATTATTCTGAAAACTGCAAAAAGCCTTCCTCCTCACCGACTGCCTCCAAGACCCTCCTGTGCTGCATTCCTGAGCCATTGCCCCAACAAGCTCCTCCTTTCTTTACCTACTTTTGTTTTTGCTACTCCATTCCCATATTTTTTCTCTTCTCTAAAAATTTCCTTTAATTCATATACTATTTTGTTTTCAATTATTCCACCTATAGACTGTCTATTACAGGAATAACCTTTCCTTACCCTTGTAGTGCTTAGCGCAGTACAAGGCACAAGTAGGTATCTATTATTTTTAAACCATATATTTTTGAATTGGTACACTAATTCGTATATGCAATGCATGCTTAATACATGATCACTGTGTGCCAGGCCACTCTGATGGGCATTGTGCAATTAGGCTTTGGCATAAGCAGAAAGGGAAGGTAGACTTTTTTGTAGCCTTATTTTTAAAGACCCACATCAAGAATTATTTTATATATCTCTTACACTACTGAATAGCTTCTGCTTGTCTATATTAATCTTGATCAATTTTGTCAACTTCCTGGGCAAGGAAACCTATTCTCATTTTTATGCAGGTATATCCCAACATGCAATCAGGTGCTAGTGTGTAAATTACCTAGAACTGCAGATGTACTTTCCCATAGAAACAGTTTCATACCTGGAGGTTAGGTTCCCAAGCAAGCCCACAAAAACTCATATTGTTATATGAGTATGAACATTTAATCCATCATCATAAATGACATTGGCAGTATGTACACTTTCATTCCAAGTTCCAAATCCTCTTGGCAGAACTTGTCTCTCTCCCAAGTCTTCAACAGTAGAGAAAGGGAGTTTTAGTGGGAATCCCAGTTATCCCCAAGAAAAGGAATTCTGAGGACTGCAGAAGGCAAACAAGGCTTTTGGTGGCAGACTCTCCATGTTTATGTACAAAACATATTCTCTCTTCTCCTGCATACATAAAACTCATCAATTTAGCAAGATTTATTTTAATGGAAGAAAGTAGCAGTCAGGGTACTACTGGACATGACACCTGTCTCTTTAGGTATCTGCAGTTTTTGAAAGTATTAATTACAACACCTGTGAATGTGAATTCATATGATTTCACAAAATGTGCGAACTGTCCAAAAAATATGCTGATAGGCTGTATGTATGATTCATATGTAAATATACTTTTATCAGAAGATAAGGATAGTAAAACTCACAAATAAATATAAACTATCACCAAACATACATATACTAGGGATTCCTAGGGAACTACACAAAATTTACTGTCAAAAGTCAATTCTGATTGCACTAAGTCCTTAAAAATGTTGCCCTTTTTTGACCAGATATCTTTGTTCTCCATCTTCCTCTTTCTCTCCAACTCAGTTTCCTCCACTACTTACTTAATTCTCACCTTTCCCCTCTCATTTCCTTCTCCACTACTTCACAGCTGGCTCCATGTGAACCTATGACATAATTACCACACATTCTCCTGAGAATTGTGTTTGCTGATGTAGCCTATGCTATAGATAGGAGAAAGTACATGGCTAAAATTGTCCTATAATAATTTTAAACATTTGTCACACTAATAAGTTATTTTTGGTTTTCAGCAATGAGTCAGTTCTTAATTAGTCATTATGGGTGTAGGGAGGGCAGTCAGAATTAACCTGAAGCTTCAAATTCAAATTTAATTAATGTCTAGAAGTATTTTAAGTCATGCTGTGTTTTATAATTATTTGATGAGCTAAAGCAAAAATGATCCTTAAGTCGCCTTTGGTCAAAACGATATCTCTTTTTATTTACAAGAGTTTAGTAATATAGTAAGGTTAGCCTTTCTTTGAGATAGAATCTAAAAGAGTGAATAATACCATGATCTTCCAGGAAATTGTTTTCAAGGGAGAAAAATAACTTCAGTTCACCTTTGCCCACCAGCTTGACAGCATGAAGTAGGTATTAACATTTTCATCTCCAAATTGCTCAGCCACGTAGAGTCCTAGTGATCCGTATTTGTCGTATATGTTTCTCTTTGACATGTCTGTAAGTATTGTGTGGGCGTTGTTGATTTCTTTAAACTTTTCAGCGGCCCCTGGATCATTTGGATTCTTGTCTGGATGGTGTTTCAAGGCCAATTTTCTTTTAAAATTAAAAAAGTAAGGAAAAGTGTTATTTGATAAGAATTACAATGACATTTTAGAAGGGCATTATTCATTTGTACATCCTTTATACATTCATTTGAACATCCATTAAACTAGTTTCACGATAATGTTGATTTAACTAAGCAACTTTTCATTAAATGCTGTCTCTTGTTTCTAATGTGTAGACATAATAGTATTGCTTCTCCCCTCGCATCCTCAGAGGAATTCTCAATAGCTGCATTTGCTTTCAGCAAATATGGGAAGTTTATTTTCACCTGGAAGCTCATCAGTAGCCCACCTCAACATCCAGAGGCCTTTAAGAGTTCTAGCAACAGGACCAGTTTACAGCAAAATTCCATTTAGAAGTGGAAGAATTTTCCACAGTTAACAAAACTTCACACACATATTCTAATAATTAAACTCAACTGTCAAAAAAAAAAAGGATCTCTGATTTATACACCCTTGAATCAACATTATGATCCTTTCACAAATCCTTCACAAATCCTAACTCCCTTTTGTTTTTATGAACAAATATTGTGACTTACCTTGTATTCAAATATGCATTTGACCTCTTTGCAAATAAGTCTTCATACTCCAAATAATCTGTAGAAATTTACTTGTGAGTGTAAGGTCCTCTCTCCTCTGTGGATCATAAAGCAATTCCAGAAGGATATGAGTGTGTGTTGTGTTGTGTTGTAGTGTGTGTGTATGGCAGGGAGTGGTGATTTTTGAGTATTCTTTATTCTTCATTTATAATCAGGTATTTAAAAAACTATGAAGTGGATCTAAGAACTGAGCTATGAAGTCAGACTCTGGCTAGAGATTTGCCCTCACTTCCCTCTACAGACAGATTTAAATTGATTAAAGCCATGTTTAAAATTGAGTCTGTAGTATTTTTATCTCTACAAAGTCAATTAGTTTTATGACTCTTTGCTGGAAATTCCACATGACTTATTCTCCTTACATGCCCATTATAGGTATATGTAGGAATATACCTCAAAGTTTGTTTATTTCATCAGTTTAGGGTTAAATCAAATCGTTCCATTTTAACACAATAATAAAAGTCTGTAAGTAGAGCAGAAAATGTATATCTTATAAACCAATCTATACAAAAAACTGAAAAAATCACACCTATTTTAGGAATTACAGTATTGCTGGTTAGGAAGTACGTGAATAATTTAGCAGCTTAGTATCAGGATGCTTAAAAAGTACGAAACTATTTAAAAGTATACATCATGGTATATAATCCATTCCAACTCTGAATTCAGAACAAAAAGAATAAAACAATGACAGTTCATTTGAAATTTGTTTAACCAAAACATTTTTCATCCTTTTGAGAGATGTTCAGAGTATCTATAAATTCTTATTGGAGACATGCTTTTTACATGCAGAATTTATGATGAAATCCTGTGCTAGTAGCACAAAATGCCTATTTTGTTATTTTTTAAATTTATAATGTCTACTACGTGCCAGCACTATTGTAAGCATGTTATAAATATTAATGCATTAATCTTCACCCCAATTCTGTGAAATTGGTATTACAATAATCCCATTTTACAGATGAGGAAATTTAGCCACCAAGAAGTTAAGTAACTTGCCCAGCATCACATAGCTAATAATTAGAGCCAGGCTTTGAACATAAGCAATCTGATCCTGAGCACTATGCTGCCTCGTATATATTTTTAATTTAAAAATGTAAGGCACACAGACTATTAATATGACACTGTAAAGACTTTGGCTTTTGGTCGGGGTGATGCAGAAAGCCACTGGGGTGTTTTGAGAAGAAAGTGGTATGATCTGATTTTAGTTTTGGAAGGATCACTCAGTCTTGGAGAGGACAAAGGCAGAAGCAGGAGACTCTTTTAGGGGAAGTTCATGGTTGTTTGGCTCAATGTGGTGATGGATGATTAGTGAGAAGTGGATCGATTCTGGATATACTTTGAGGGCTAACTGATGGATTAAATGTGTGATGTGAAAGAAAAAGAGGAATCAGGGATGGCAGCAATGTTTTGGCCTGAGCAACTGAAAGTTTGGAGTTACAATTTAATGAATTGGCAAGAGTTTTTTTTTTTTTTTTTGATAGTAGGGAATGGTTTGCTAGGATTCAGAGTTCTATTTTGGATGCCTTTGAGGTTCCTTTTAGACTTCCAAGTTTGATGGAGGTAGAGAGGTATATGAGTCTGGAGTTCAAACGAGAATTACTCTGGGAGATGTACAATTGGGAGTTCTCAGCAGATAGATGGTATTCAGAGCCATAGAACTGGAAAAGATTCCCAGGAGAGTGGGTCCCAGATAAGTCCAAGGACTGAGCTTTGGGAAGGAAGAATTTTGTAGTTGGTGAAGAAGATGTAGGAGTTGACGTAGGAGATGAAGAAAGAAAGAGCAATGACGAAGAAGGGAAAATTTGGAGAATTATGGGGTCTTGGGATCCAAGTGAACAAAATCCAAGTGTGGTCACCTGTGTTGAATGCTGTTGACAGGTCATGTACTATGAGGACTAAGATGTAATCATTGGGTTTAATGATATAGAAATCTTTGGTGACCTTGACACATGCACACACAGACACATACACATATAACATATACATGTGTACATGCACATACACACCTAGACAATTGTACATATGTCTTTATATTGGGAAAAATAAGTAGAGATAAGGAAGAAAATGGAAAGTTATAACCACAACTATGATTATAGCTACACATTGGCATTATAGGTAATTCTTTGTTTTATCTTATTTTTAGAAATATCTGTATATTTACATATATAGATATAAACTTGTGTAGTTTCCTTCCCTAAGCGTTTTTAAGCTCCAGTCACAAAACTTGGGCTCTTTAATAGCTGAAAGTTTAGAGTTTGTTCCCTTAAGAGACCCACTACCAAATTAGAGGGGGGAGGAAAGAAGTTTTCCAGCTTTAATAATACAACAATCATTATCAAAAAGCCTCAAGTGGACTCTTTAAGCACATTAATTTTAGTGACTCAATATTCCTGGAATTCCTTTGCACCTTGAAATATAATTGCAGCATTTCCCCCTACCAGTTCCAGAGATCATGTCCAAGCCAAACCAAATACAAGGCTGTTACTTCTGCCCTGAAAGAAAGAAAAACCCTGGAAAATACCTCTTTACATATGTGTCTTTATGTCTAGGGTTCAGTTGTAGGCTGGTACACACTGCACAAGACTTAGCCAGAAGAACCTGTCATATTTTAAGTTGCTTGGATCTTTGTCAGCTCACAAGGAGATGCACTCAACCATTTATTATATTCCTCTAACAATGGAGTTGGCCAATTCAGAGAGCTGGAGCACCTCCATTTGTAACACATCCAATTCCTGGTCATCAGCAGCATTTTGATTCCTCTTGGCAGATAGTCTTGGCTCTGAGGAATCCTCAGGAAATATGGCTAGCAGAGGCAGCTGCCAAAGTTATACACTTGCTCAAGGAGGTAGTTGATTGATGACCTACCCCCTTGGATATTGTCTATACAGCAAGAAAACTCATATGAAATTTAGGATGAAAGGAGATGCGTGGAGTTCATTTAAACATGACATTGCCTATTCATTTTAATCATCTTTCTTACAATTTCTCATTTTATACTTAAAGTGATATTCAGTCAGAATATGAACCTTTAACTCTAAATCTCTCTATACTTTTAGTCACTGTTAATCTGGCATGGCTATAACTAATACTAGAATTAGCTTCAAGACCTCTGATTCTCCAGTTTCCACTTCAAAATCCAGTAACAGATGTCAACTGCTCTGTGACTTTCTGCTACACTCCCTCAGCCACAAAGTTTATTACTCCTCCCATGTCCCAGAAGAAAGTCACCTGCTGCCCAAGATGAAATCTTGTATTTTATCTTCTTGATCATAGATATTTTAATGTCTGTATCTGATAATTCTGATACTTGAGTTTTGCACAGTTTTGTTGCTGTTGTCCCACTCCTGCTGATTCTTGTTCATATTGCCTTGACTTGTGTGCTTGATTATATTTGTGTGCTAGATATTTAAAACTTCTAAAGAATAACTGGAGGACTGAGACGATGTTACACCAGAGAGAATTTGTATTTCCTACTTTCAGGTATCTGGAGGCACTTATAAAACTGGGATCATCTTAATCCAGTATTAGAAACTGAGATTTTTCTCAGTCATCCAGATGACTCAAAGTTCAGTTACAGTCCACATAAGATTGGTATTTCCATAATCTATTTCTGTGTAGCAGACTACAGTAAAATTTAGTAGCTTAAAACAATAAGCACTTAAGCACTTATTTCTTAAGTGTTGTCGAAACTAGATTGCCAAAGTAAAAGCTGCTAGGTCTTTTTAAGATTTAGGTAAATCATCACTTCTGCCACATTCTTTTAGTTAAGTTAGGTCAGAAAGCCAGCCCAGATTCAAGAAGACTGCACAAGGGTATAAATACCAGGGGATATGACTTATGGAGGACTACCAAAGTAACTGTCAACCTCAGATGGTTTACTTCCATTTTGGCCTTTCTCCTGGGAGGCAGCACTTTGGAGTCTAAATAGAATTGCAGGATTTCCGTTCTTACTGGGCCAGGGTCCAGGCTCCTTTCTTTCTCCTGTTCAGCCTCTCAGTTTTTCTTCCTCCATAACATGATTTAGTCAGCAGTGATCTTTACTCTCAAATACTTTTAAGATGTACATATATAAATATAATTTTCCTTTCAGTTTTGCTAGTTCTTAGCAGAAGGGAGAACTAGAGTAAGTTACCTAGCCAGTGATAGCCTGGTTATCTTTCATGTTTATATTCTCTTTCAACTATATGTTAATTCCACAAAGAGCTTTTTAACCATTGTTATATAAACGAGCCAAAGAATGCCTCTGTATTGATCCCTACATTGTTTGTTTCTTTACTGCAGGGTGAGACCCATTAGCTCAAAAGCCTGCCAGTGTCAAACTCAAATTTTCACAATTGTCATTTGTAAAACAACCCAAACAAGCAGATTGTTAGCTATTTAGAGCCTTCCTGCTTTA